ACCGCACGAAGTCTGCCCTGGTCACCATGACATCCACGCAGCTGTGAGTGCCCCCCTCCCCGTTTGTTACGAACCCTCGCAATCTCACGCCGTGGACAAAGGTCCATCGGTCAGCCGGCCTGCACACGTCCTGGACTCCCTCTCTTATTTTGGCCTTATCTGACTTCCTCTAATCCCCCCCCCCAGTTTACTACGCTACACAGCCACTATGTTCCTCCCCCCAGGCCTGGACCAATGGTCATCTTTATTTGATGAAGAGGTCAAGGTTGCCATGGTCTACAACTTTGCGGGGGTCGGGCAGCTTCCACCTGATCCTAGTTTGTTGTCATGGACATGGCTTCCTTATTTTTAAATAAATGGCTTCCAACACTTATTATAATAAGTTAATTATTTTTAAAACGCTGTTGTCTATGTCTTTAACGAGTCATTTCTTTTAAATGTTTGCCCTTCTTCATGTAGCCTACCTACACGCAATTGCAAAGCTGCTCTGAGACAACGAATGGGAATAAGAGGAACCTTACACCTATGCCAGTACTGTCAGTACATCCGCAAACATTACAACATAGTTTACCCATTAACCATTACCACACACCAGGCCCACCATCCCCCCCCCACACACACACCGGGCAGAGTTTTTGGATGGAAAAAAAACGTTAATTTAAAATAATGTAGTTTCATTAATTTTTCCCCTCTTGTTTTCTCACTACAGAATGATGCGATACTGCCAAAGAATGAGGAACTAATTTTGCAAGGAAAATCAAATCACTGAAATACAGTCTTAGCAGTTAAATTAATCTCAAAGCAAAGTGAAAACTGCTGAGGTCTGGAATAAACTCAACATCCAAAGTGGAATTTGCAGTTGAAAGTTTGGAATTTATGTTTGGCAAAACAAATTTCCTAGTATCTTGATACGAAATGCCACCAGGGGGAGGGGGGCTGGTGGTAGCAAGACAATTATAAGATAGTGTCAATAGATCAAGGATATAATGCAGTAAATTGCATCCAAGCACATCCATTTCTTGTGATAGTACAATAAAACTTAAAAGAGAGATCAGAGTCAGAGTAATCGGTAGTTATTTAGTAGTTCTACAACTGATTGAATGACATTGTTTTATCTAAAATTATTTTACATAAGGAGCAAATCAGCATTGCAAGAACATCAATTTTAATGGTTTAAAAATTAGATCCTAAGTAAAGAAAATGTGAAATACAAGAACATGGCTCCCCTGGTGGCTTGTTGCTACTATCCAGCCCCCTTACATTCATAATTTAAAGAGAAGACCATGCTGTATTAAAATATCAGAGGTACAGCTTATTTTATTGCTGTCAATCAAGAACATCCATAAACAGATGTTACTTAGCTGGAATTCAGAGGCAATGAAAATCAAGTGGAGAGACCTCTTAAACTAAATTTTGCACTGGACTTGTGTAATTTGATGAGCTAAAAAATGGCAGTACATACAGATACTTCTAACCAAAAAGGCATCAAACGGCAGAGGTCTTCAATTTCATCTGATAAAAAAAAAGATAACAAAAAAGGTAATTATTTAATATTTTGTTGCCTTTGAATTTGTAAAGTCTACAAGACATTGTGGCAGGGTTGGAAACACTTTTTAAAAAGTGACAGTTTGTTATTTAATGTATTTACAGTGACATGAGTTTGTTATTTAATGCATCAATTTACTATGACATGCAATTTTTTTGTCCTGAAAATTAGTTTTCTTTCAAAGTTTTGATTGTGATGATATAATTCTTAAAATTTGATACACTAAATTGTATTGAGTGAGGTTTATCTTGAAAGTAAAATAATTACTTTAGACTTTAGAAGTAATAAAGTATGAATTGGAAATCTCACTTATTCATGAAAGATAGGGTGTCAGTTAAAATTAACATACTCACATACTGTTTTGCAACAATGTTTTTAGCATACATCCCATCTTATGTGCAAGAAGGAGAAAAATGTGTTGTTTGCGGGGACAACTCTACAGGGACTCACTACAGAGCTATGACATGTGAAGGATGCAAGGTAAAGTATTCGTAACTCTAGATATCTTGAAATTAAAAATCTTTTTTTTTTTTTTTTAATG